TGGATGAGTCAACCCCACACATACCCCCCCTTTCTACAGTACTAAACATGTGCCATACAACTGATGAGACAATGTGTGTAATTTCTTCTTCTTTTCCCATGCCGCCATGGCATTGTTTGATAGCATGTTCAACGCTGCCAGATGTTCCTCATGCCCACATTTCAGAAGAGACCAAAAAGGCAGATTACCAAGAAGGAGACGTGATACATTTCACTTGCGAACCTGGTTATACATCAGGTCCAACCATCAAATATGTATGCACGAGCGGGGGCTGGTTGGCAGTTCGTCAGGGAACGTGTTTCTGTGAGTTGACTGGCTTTCTGTTCTGCGCTTTCACCACCGACTGAATGTCTTCTGTTGTTGTTGATCATGTAGCACAATAGCAGTAAATAGCTTACACTGTTGCAAATTGCAGTTAATTATATTTTTGAAGGTCCCTTTCAGACACAGAATTAATTACGTAACCCTAACCAGTTGTTTTCTAGAAATGTTTTAATGGCAGTCTGCTTAAGTCAGACCTAGTAACATTTCCATAGCATTTCCAACACAGCTCAGGTTTGAATCAAACTTAATTCTTTAATCCTTTCTTATAACAGGTAGTCGATTTTTAAACCTTTTGAAACTCATCATCTGTGAAGAGCATAGTGTTTAAAACCAGTTCTTTCAGGTTCTGTTTAAACGTTTCATCTAGATAAAGTTGAATGGTCCTGTGACTTGACATGAAAATGGATTTAGATGTCAAGAGAAATGAAACAGCAGAACTGCATTTCTCTAAATGTGATCTCAGTGGTGTTGAGCTCTATTCTCTGCTGCAACCCTAGTTTGTCATGTACTTCACCGTCAGTGACCTGACTGACTTGTATTTAGTTCCAGCTTCCAGCTGTGAGCCCCCTCCTGCAGATGGTGGGGTTACAGTAAACGGTTTACCACAAAATGAAGAACCCATACTTCCTGACCAATTCCTCACATTCAGCTGTGGTCCTGGGAAATATCTGGATGGCAGTTCAGTGCTGATATGTGGTAAAGATGGACAATGGAATAATCCATTCCCCTCATGTGAAGGTAAATATAAATAAAAAATAATAATTCTGTACACACTGGTTATGTGCTACTTAACTGTGGAGCATGTTGTAATACACTAAAATGACTGCAAACATTATAAGGGTGGCCTCTGTGACACATAAACGGAACCTAAGAGTTTTTCATTTGATAATATCCGTTTTATTCTTTCCAGACATCACTTGTAAAGTTGGAGTGATGCACCCTCATCTCTATGTAGCTGGACTCCCAAGAGCAAATGAAACAATGAAGACTGGACATAAATTACGGTTTCAATGCAGTGATCAATACACATTGTATGGGTCTGAGGAAATTGAATGTTTACAAACTGGGCAGTGGAATACTCTCTTTCCAACTTGTGATGGTATGTTCACTTTGGTTGGTTAACCCTGTATACGTTGATTTTACCCCCTTAGTTTATCCATCTTTTAAAGCACTTGAACAACTTGAATATTAATTCTCATAGAAAATGGTAAAAATTGATGGGAATAAGATGAGGACAAAAATAAACATTCAGAAATATTTTATGGTTGATTAGCGAGATAAGAGACACAGGATGTTGACATGTGAGTTTCATTAGATACATTAAGTACAAAGTGTAAGAACAGGTCAAAGCAAAAGTTGAATATTACAGGCGTTTTCATCATATGTACCTTTTCCCCTCAAGAACCTACATTTACATATTTGAATTAACATATTTTGAAGAATAACATACAAGCATCAGATCTGTATATAAAACAATAATTAAACCTGCAATTATAAAAAAATTTTGGTCACTTGGGGGGACATGGTGGTACAACACTGACCATCATCTTTTAAGTTGATATAGTGAACTTCTTAGCAAAGAGTTGCCTATTTAAACATGCAGCTAACATACAGCGATATTTGCATTTTTTTAGACTTGTGTTTATGACCACCTGGCAAATTAATCCAATATTCAAGCACCTTATTTCTCTGTTTTGGTCTCCACTAACTTATAATGAAAATATTTGGCTCTTAAGCTACTAAATACTCCATTTTCATTGCTAATTGCTTACAATGTCTGCTGTTTGGTGCTGGCAGTTAACAGTAAGTATTTAGGGCTTTTTTGCTGAAACCCCTTCTTGCTGATGACGATAACAGTGCTATGAGAGCAGTGAGAATGAAACAAAAATGCTGCTGGCCAGAAAATCAGCAGAGAACTAAACATACTCTAAACCTCTGCAGAGCTGAGGGGAACTGCAGCGTTGGGTGATAATTCTATGTAGATTCATCACTATGACCACAAAAGTAGTCATGTGAACCATTTTTATATGGAAATATTGATTATGGACTGTTTAATAAAAAAGAAACATCTAAGTAGATTTAAACTTTAGTAAAAAGACGTCCCCATGTACTCGTACTGTATCTTTGTATAATTCAAATAAGCTGTAAATGTACATGCATTGGAGGTAAAGTTACAAAGATTTGGACCTATAAGATTTACATCAGATTTGGGTCCGTGAAACCCAAAAAGTCAGATCTTTAGTCAAGTATGCTACTGTTTATACTAAATAAACCTCTTCATGAAACAGATTCTCTTACAGACAAATGCAAAGTCACACATGTACCAGCCAACGTATACATCTCCGTACATGTACCAAACAATCAACTAAGAAAAGGACAAAAGTTAAGGTTTGAGTGCAGACAGAGAGGACACTTTCTTCGCGGAAATGCATCGGTTGAATGTTTAGCAAACGGACAGTGGAGTGACCCCTTCCCAACATGTGGACGTAAGTCACTTCTTTCGTTGTCCCCTTACTCCTTATTTAGGTAAATGATGGAACAAGATGATCCATGACTCAACTTTCGGATGGTTACCACAGTGCACTACAATCTCAGAAGGCTTGATCTGCTGTTTTCCCTGCTACCCTGACCTGATGTGTATTGTCTTTGTGCCTCTTGTGTTGTTGACATTTACATTTTAAAATTCAAAGGCAATAAAATATGTCATCTGTCACTCTGCGTGAAAATGTCATAATTTCTCCACAATAATAATGAACCTGTACTTTCTCCGACATTTGTCACATTCTTTTAGCTCCTTTGGGTTGTAGGAGACCACCGCCCTTACAGATGGAGATATCAAGGACAGTGTTCGATTCCAGTACAGACATGAAGATAGGGTTGAATATGTCTGTCCGAACTTTTACATTATGCAGGGTGGACCTTACAAAACCTGCAAAAATGGTGAATGGGTTGGACAGATGAGATGCCTCAGTAAGTTTCCTTTTCCTACTGCATTCTGTGAGGATTTTGCATAATGTCAAACAGATTTTTGTTTCCAGTGTTTGCATGTAGCAGTTTGATTTATGTCAACATACATACATAATCATTATACAGACCCATTACACAAGGACTAAAGACTAATAAACAAACACATAGTGTTTGGTGAAAATGTAGTTAAAACAGGAATGTGACTTTTTGGAATCTGTTTAATCTTTTAAAAAGACTATGTCTTAGAAATTTCCATGAGATAACATGTAAAATCATTACAGAGAGACAAACAACTAGTCAGCTAAAGGTACATCAAGTCAAACCTAGATGCTAAGATAGTCTTAGCTAAAGCTAAAGCTAAATTTACCTACTATTTTTCCCTAGATGTTATCTGTAATTGACAGAAAGTCAATGATCACAATAAAGTTTATATTATTTAAAAATGAACAGTTTAAATGGACAATGAAAGGCAAAAGAACACATTATGTTTGTAGATAGTGTTTCCGTTTGAATATCTGCATTTTTTTTTTGTTTGTTTTATGTACTATTATTATTTATTATTATTTTTTATTATTGCTAAAAAGAGATATGAAATCAAGGCAATATTACCTTTCTATTTATTTCACAATTTGCTGGTCAGTAATACTGTATATGTAGAGTATCGTAATAGAATATGTTTCCAATTACATTTGGGACTACATATTTAGTTTCCAAGTACACAATGTTTTTTTAAGTTCAAGACTAGAAATAATTATATATGGTGCATGCTGTACAGTCGTTCCTGACATTAAAAAATATATATATTTATCTGTTATATCTTTCAGAACCCTGCACTGTGGATAAAGAAGCCATGAGAAGTCACAATATTGTCTTCAGATATTCAGCTGATGATAAGCTGTATTTAACACATAATGATGTAATCGAGTTTATGTGTATCAGAGGAAGAAGACATGATGGAGTAAAGGAGATGCGCCAGAAGTGTGTTGACGGTGTGATGCACCTGCCCACTTGCCAGTAAAAGTTTATAAATCAACTGAATATAATATGATAAACATGAGCTGGTTCAACAAACATGTAAATGATTAATCAAAGTAAGAGTTAGACCAGTATCTATACTTCCTGTGTGTTGTAATTTTAATAAAGCACAGCTTTTCACTTTGTCTGTTTTCAGCCTCCAGAATCATAAGCATGTAGCCGATTAAATG